TGATGATGTCACATCCTAGGAACTAAAGGCCGCCAGTGTGATGTTGATGACATTTCGACTGATCTATCAAAATATGAGTGTAGTAACATATGCACTTGTAGTCGAGGCCTAGGATTTAGCCTAACCCACCCCCACCCCCCCCCCTACCCTAATCGCTGTTATTATTATCATCATCGTCATCATCATCATCATCTACTGATTCCTCAGTTGTTTCATTATCAAGTCTCATTTAAGTGTAGACAATCATCACAGCTGAATCATAAGCAAAGGACGGGGGAAACAAAGAATTATTAAAAAGTACAGTTTTTATAGTTACGAAACGAAACATTTACCCACTTTAATATAAGGATATATTTTTTTTTAAAAGCTCAGATTCCAAAACCTAAACCCAAGGCGTCATTAAAAAAAAAATAGAGATCTGGGTAGAAAAACCCTGTGTATGTAGGCCTGCACTGCTTTGCTGTCGTTCACATTTTTATCAACAGTGATATACATAATAAAACAGTTTTGGCCTGTGGTATTGTGTTTTGGTTTCTCACTTCTCCGTGTAGCCTGCGCTGCCCTGTTTGGCGGGAAAACAGAAGAGATCCAGTGTCCCCATACAGGCATGTCGACTGTTTAGGGGTTTGGTGGTATCGCGTGTCTTGGGTCAAAGGTCGCAGGTGTCACACCCCAGCTGCACACTACAACACAGCGTGCAACCCGCAATTTAAAAACAAAAGATAATAGTGATGATGATTATGACCTAGAAAAAAAATTGAAAGGTAAATTAGGAGAAGAAGAAGAAGAAGAAGCAGAAGCAGAAGAAGAAGAAGAAGAAGAAGAAGAAGAAGAAGAAGAAGAAGAAGAAGAAGAAGAAGAAGAAGAAGAAGAAGAAGAAGAAGAAGAAGAAGAAGAAGAAGAAGAAGAAGAAGACAACAAAGTAGAAGACGACGAAAAGGAAGAAACAGAGAGAGAGAGAGAGAGAGAGACAGACAGAGAGACAGAGAGAGAGCCATCTTTATTGTTCCGGATTTCTCGACAACTTCTTTGTTTACACATTCTCTCACTTCCCTTCTTAACCCTACACGCGCATTTCCATTATTTATATTATCCAGTTGTCTGGCAGTGCTCTCTGTAAACAAAACTAAAGTTAAAGAAACGCAAAACTGTGAAACACTAAGCAGTGGCCCAAGAGCGCGAACAGAGCGCGCCTTTCACATAAACAGCAACAGAAAACCAATTACCTGATCACAGAAACGGGTAGTGGAAATAAAGGGTGCTTACCTAACTTGTTTTCCCCCTGTTATATACGTTGTTCTAGTTCCTATTGGGCTTATAAATCACCGCTGGACTCAGTCAGCCTTTGTTTCATGCTGTTCATTACATGTGACGGGCGAACAACAACAACAAAATGCGTGTACTACGGCTTACTAAACAGGGCCGACACCAAAGAGAAATCACTGAGGTAGGGGTTTGGGTCCCCCCCCCCCCCCCCGCCCTTTATCTCGGAAAGGGAGGGATTTCAAGGAACTTAATTAAGCCCTTTTGAAGTGATCAGAAATAATAGCTTCTATTATTGTCATCATCATCATCATCATGGGCTGAATAGCACAAACAAAGAATGCCATATTTGAAATAATTACGACATTGATGTATAATATTAACTTTTGTATTTTCCTGATATAGTAAATATATAACGAGGTCCATAATTGATATCTTAAGATTTGTGCATGCTGAACATAAAATAAATCACCTTCGTCATGCCATGATACCGTCTTAATAGTGACAAGTCGGGGAAAAAATTATCGAAGTTTATAGATACGGTAGTTAGTCGGTAGTTAGTCGGTAGTTAGTCGGTAGTTAGTCGGTAGTTAGTCAGTAGTTAGTCGGTAGTTAGTCGGTAGTTAGTCGGTAGTTAGTCGGTAGTTAGTCGTAGAAAGTGAAAGATAGTTCTCAGCTTGAATTATGAAAAAAAAAAAAACAGAAGTACCGTAAAACTTCAGTTAACCGTTACCGCCAGACCAGGAAGCTCAACTCCCCTCAGAATTGACGACTTGGGTGAGGGGAGGGGTGGGGGTGGCGTAAAGGTGGATGTGCTCAGCTCTCATACTTTCTGTGTGTGTCGGGGCCGCGCTAGCGCAGTCGAAAGGAGACTTGCTTTCAAATCCAGCTTCGGCTCGCTGCAGCCCACGCCGGTGTTCAAAACCAGGCGGTTCCCGAGGTTCACCCAACTCTAGGAAGTGGGTACCAGAGTTAACACTCTGAGGTAGATGGAGGAACGTCGCTGTAGCTACGGAGTTGCGTGCGGACGGCGACACAGACGGGCAGTTTATTATCAGCTGTTCGTACTGGTGACAGAGAACTTACGGTTTATAACCGTGTCCAATGACGCTGGTTCACATCTCCTGCCATGTTTTTGTTCTGTACGAATTGTTTAACCTCCTTCTCATTCCCTTGCTGATTTTCCGCTTCCATGCAACACGATAGCATTTTTCCCCACACGATTTCACCTCAGTGCCTGTATCATTCATGTTTAGCTTGTACAAATCTTTATATCGTAGTAGAGGTCGGCTTCTACATCTTTTACCCATCTGTAGTTCACCAAAAAGGATGTCCATAGAGACCCTACCATCTTCCAATCTCCAGGTGTGACCCAACCACCCGAGCCTTTGGTGACTGAGCATTGAGAAACCCGTTTAATACCTGCTCTTTCCAATACCTGAGTGTTTAAAATAACAAAGAACAACGAATATGAATAAATATTTATTCTTGCTTGTCCCAAAAGAATAACTGATGTTGCATAAACAGTTTATGAAACCAAAAGATCCCTTTTCACACCTTTAGGCGCATCCGGTAAATGGGAAGCGCACCCAAATTTTTACAGGCCAATCAGCACCAAGGTGACTAATGTGGTCAGCGTTACGCCGTCCGTCTTTACTTCCCTAGGACATACATCCTGGTACCCATTTTAAGCTGGGTCGACCTGCGATGCCGCATACCATGATAAAAATCCACGCAGCCAGCAGTGTTATGTAACCAAGTCTGTGTTTAATTAGAAGCATATCTGCAAATAATTTTATTACAGCAAGTAATTGCTTGTTTATGCAACCCACAAATAACAAAGATTTCGGGTTTGTGCCTTTTCAGCTCATTCATTATGTGATTAGTTTTCTCGTTAATGTAATATTTTTTTTTTGGGGGGGGGGGGTGGGGGGGGGTGAGGATAGACTGCATCACAATCACAATTATGAGTTATGAGTTAGATTATCTTCACAGCACTCCGGACACATCCGAAGGCGCTCAGATTCCCCTCTCAACATATTCATCAGCGTCGTGCGGTTGATAGTACCAGTCCTATGTTGGTTAACAATACTTTGTGTGCGTCCAGTGTGCTTCTCATGCTTGGCTGTGCCGATCTTTACTCCCAATTCGCGTATTCTTAGAAGTGATGTGGACACGTTGCTTCCAAAATCCACAGAACGTCCTATCTCTCTAAGGGCAATGACAATGTCTGCGTGATCGATGGGTCGGCCATCTTCAATTAATGCAGTGCGTGTCAGTCTATCAGCTCTCTCATTGCCAACTACGCCTGCATACCCTGGGACGAATATAAAATTAACTGCACACACGCCAGATCTTACTAAAAGAATCACTCAGCACACACACACACGGGAATAGTCCTGTGATCCCAGCCACATGAAAGCTTGTTTTACCGCCATCATCTCCATCTCACGCTGCTGGTAGTCATGGAGAAGGAAACGCTGGCTTCTTTAACTGTCCTGCCTGAAGAGCGAGCACTCTTTTGTCCTCGCATAACGGACCCGATCTGACTTGATTGCATCACAACTTGTGCCAACGATTCTGGGTGCAGGATGCCAGCCTGACCCTAGGATGAATAATTGCAGCCTCAAAGCTCATTTTATGGCAGGGCAGGCAAGGTCCTAATTGCCAGCTGGCCGTGAATTTAGGTTCCGACGGGCGGATAGACAGAGCACTGCTCTTCTGACCCTTCAGCTTCTGCAGCATATGCTTTATTCCTAAAGTATTGCTGTTACGTTTCTTAATGAATAAGGCAGGCATGGAATAGAGGTTTTGCTGCATCGATAAAACAGGTTTCTACAACATTGTTGATGCTTTGTGGTGTCTTTTTCTTCTTTTGTCGCCTCACAGATACCAGGTTGTTGCCAAGTGTTGTGGTTTTCTGCATTTGTTTTGCGCTTCTCGGGTGCCTCCAAAATATAGAATTCGATAGCAAGAAACTGGGAACAAATAGCGACAGTTAGACACAACATCAACTCACCACAGAGAGAGATAAAAAAAAAAGTAGTACGTCAGAGATATGTGTTATCCACAAGCCTTTTCAACTGAAATGTAGAGACACTTTTTTTAAAAAAAATGGAGGAATTGCCTGGACTGAATATTAATGGAAGAACAATAAACAATCTGAGATACGCGGATGACACAGTACTACTATCAGAAAGCGATTAGGAGTTACCAGAACTAGCTTATCAAGTCAACAGGTGGAGTGCACAGTATGATTTAGACATTACCACTAGAAAACAAAAACTTTGGTAAATAACAATCGAAAAGAGCAACTAACAATGAACATCACAGTAAAAGGAGAGCTATTAGAAAAAGTAACAAGGTTTACCTGTCTAGGACACGTAGTAACAGACGATGGAAGAAGCGAAACAGAAATCAAAAACAAAATAGGAATGTCTAAAACTATCTTAATAAGATGCAGAAGTTACTGACAGATGGAGAGATAAACAACACACTAAAAATGGGGATCGTCAAATGAGTCCTGCTAAATGGTGCAGAATTTTGGACAATGAACAAGGAACTAGAAAATCCAATTGAGGTCATGGAAATATGGATATACCAAAGAATAGGTCGTTTTTCACTGAAACAAAAACAGTCAATGCAGATGTTATGGAAACTACAAATGAAAAGAGAATGACTAAAAGAAATAAAATGTTAGCCAGTTCCTTTTAGTTTTCTATTTCCGGTGGAGAAAGGATATTCACTGGAATCATGCCTAAACAAATCCAAGAAATCAAGGACTTTCTGCTCACAGCCAGAAGGAAGGATGCAAAATCTGTCAAGATCAAGAAGAACAAAGACAATGTCAAATTCAAGGTGCGATGCAGCAGATACCTCCACACACTGGTGATCCAGGACCGAGAGAAGGCAGAGAAGCTGAGACAGTCATTGCCACCAGGTCTGGCAGTCAAAGAGCTTAAGTGAAATTATTAAAAGAAGAAATAATTTGCAACCTTGTTCTTTTTTTTTAAATCAGCCATGTAGTTGTTTGTGAAGAACTGTTCATAAATTAAAAATAAACACTTATTGTAAAAAAGGGGAGGGGGGGGGGTGGAGACAATTCAAATACTTTGGCCACATTAAAAGAAATAACACACTTTTGGAAAGGTCGAAGGCAAGAGGTAGGCAACGATACAAATGGGGGGGGGGAGACAAATGGACGGGCAGCAGTCTGAGCGAGTGTACAACCAGAACAAGAGACCGAGCATGTTAGACACCCATTGCAGCCAACCTTCACTGTGGAGACGGCAACTGATTGATTGATCTCGGGTGGCTTGGGGGATGAATCTGTTCTTTTCAGCTACACCATTTATCCATGTCTTTCTTGGTCTTCCTCTCGCCTTTCTCCAGATATTTTGCTGTATCATATGCAGTTTGGTGTGGCTGCATTCTCAATAGATGGCCGAACCATTTAATGCTTTCTCTGTCAACAGAATCCAGACATGGTCCTATTTCAACTTTTTCTTTAATGCAGGTATTTGTAACACTGCCTCTTCTTGTGTTGTTAGTGACCTTGCAGAGACATCGCATTTCAGATGTAGTTATTTTCTGTTCTAGTGTCCTGTTCATTGACCATTGACTTCCTTGATTCAGACTTGATCAGACAGCTGGGAGAAACAGCTATAGTACTTCCTTGATTCAGACTTGATCAGACAGCTGGGAGAAACAGCTATAGTACTTCCTTGATTCAGACTTGATCACACAGCTGGGAGAAACAGCTATAGTACTTCCTTGATTCAGACTTGATCACACAGCTGGGATAAACAGCTATAGCACTTCCTTGATTCAGACTTGATCACACAGCTGGGAGAAACAGCTATAGTACTTCCTTGATTCAGACTTGATCACACAGCTGGGAGAAACAGCTATAGTACTTCCTTGATTCAGACTTGATCACACAGCTGGGAGAAACAGCTATAATACTTCCTTGATTCAGACTTGATCACGCCGCTGGGAGAAACAGCTATAGTACTTCCTTGATTCAGACTTGATCAGACAGCTGGGAGAAACAGCTATAGTACTTCCTTGATTCAGACTTGATCACACAGCTAGGAGAAACAGCTATAGTACTTCCTTGATTCAGACTTGATCAGACAGCTGGGAGAAACAGCTATAGTACTTCCTTGATTCAGACTTTATCACACAGCTGGGAGAAACAGCTATAGTACTTCCTTGATTCAGACTTGATCACACAGCTGGGAGAAACAGCTATAGTACTTCATTGATTCAGACTTGATCACACTGCTGGGAGAAACAGCTATAGTACTTCCTTGATTCAGACTTGATCAGACAGCTGGGAGAAACAGCTATAGTACTTCCTTGATTCAGACTTGATCACACAGCTGGGAGAAACAGCTATAGTACTTCCTTGATTCAGACTTGATCACACAGCTGGGAGAAACAGCTATAGTACTTCCTTGATTCAGACTTGATCACACAGCTGGGAGAAACAGCTATAGTACTTCCTTGATTCAGACTTGATCAGACAGCTGGGAGAAACAGCTATAATACTTCCTTGATTCAGACTTGATCACGCCGCTGGGAGAAACAGCTATAGTACTTCCTTGATTCAGACTTGATCAGACAGCTGGGAGAAACAGCTATAGTACTTCCTTGATTCAGACTTGATCACACAGCTGGGAGAAACAGCTATAGTACTTCCTTGATTCAGACTTGATCAGACAGCTGGGAGAAACAGCTATAGTACTTCCTTGATTCAGACTTGATCACACAGCTGGGAGAAACAGCTATAGTACTTCCTTGATTCAGACTTGATCACACAGCTGGGAGAAACAGCTATAGTACTTCCTTGATTCAGACTTGATCACACAGCTGGGAGAAACAGCTATAGTACTTCCTTGATTCAGACTTGATCAAACAGCTGGGAGAAACAGCTATAGTACTTCCTTGATTCAGACTTGATCACACAGCTGGGAGAAACAGCTATAGTACTTCCTTGATTCAGACTTGATCACACAGCTGACAGAAACAGTTGTGAAACTTTCCTCAATCAAGCTCAATTAAACAGCTCGGATTGAACCAGCGTATTATCATAATAAAATTTTAATAAATAACTTGGAAAACCAGCTGTATTACTGTCTTCATTCAAGCTCGGTTTAGCAATTCAAATACACAGCTCGAATAAACAGCTGAATTATCGGCATTCAAACTTGATTAAACAGCTCGGACGAACAGTTGCATTACATTCTACATTTAAATCCGATTAAATGGTTAAGATGAAGAGCATCAATACCTCCATCATTCAAGTTCAATTTCATAGCTAGTAAGAACAGCTACATTGCCCTATCTTTTAAGTTTGATTACCAAGTTTTATTTGTAGCATTTGTCTGTGTTAAACAACTAGTTATGCAATGTGAACTCTCATATTTGAACTCGATTAAACAGTTTGGATTATTTGCATTGCCATCACTTCTTTTTTTCCGTAATCTTTAACCGCTTCAGGTGTTGAGGGAAATATAGGTTTCAGCATCTTTCTCTTCAAGCTGCCTCGATTATAGACACTTCTCGATGCTGTCGATTTTATCTGATGTTATCTTCCCATCCTGTTATTGATCTACCTCGTGATCTACGTCCTTCTCCTCTTTTGGTATATGCTTTGTATAGTATAGCATCAGAAGGCATTCTCTCCAAGCGAGCAAACCATTTGATTTGCTGTCTCTGAATGTAATTTACAATTTGGTCTGTGCCGACTTTATCTCATATGACCTCATTCCTGATTTTATCTCTTCCCGTCACTCCTATAGTCTTTCTCAGACGCCTTTTTTTTTTTTTTTTTTGTAATTGCCTTTACTACTTAGGCTTTATTGCTCATCTAAATCAGAGGTTCCAAACCTGTTGTGCCTATCCGCCATTCAAACCGTCTTTTTAAAGAAGAAAATATATTCCATGACAATGTCTAGAATCTATCTTCTTTAGGCTAGCAAAACAAGATATAGTGAGACATTTGCATTTTGTCACATTTTACCATGTTTCATAACAGTGACAATCTGTTAATCGCAGTTCCATCTTCACGACAAACATAACACCCCATAGCTGCTGCGATCTTGAACCAGAAAAAAAAAATAATAAAAACACACCTACACACACAGAATGCCCACCTATGTCCCCTGTACAAGAAATTGAAATAGACTGCAGTTTGATCAAATCCGATAGCCTACTCTCGTGAGTGACTTGCTAAGCGCTTAAGACACTGGGCCTGTCTCTCCAGCATATTAGACCAGAAGTCCGTATAGTAAAGCACGATAATGTGGTAAATGAGACAAACAGACAGTGAAGCTTACGGTTAAAATATTTCTTATAAATCAACTGTCAGAAGCATTCACGTTACACTAATTTAAGAATAATTTCAGGTTACAAAGGTCAGTGTTAAAGTAACAGGCCATGAGCACCATGCGAGTTACTTTTAATCGGAAAACTTAATCATGGGCTGCACTGTGATTTCAATTTAACGCCCCTCCCCCAAGTAAGTAAGTTTTAAACCAACCAGGATATCACACAGAGCGATAAACCTTCCCCCTCTCCCTCCGACAATAGCTAGGGTGGGGCATTAAAATAACGAAAAATTGAAATCTTTGAAGGGGAGAATATATCAATCAAACGCCGCCAAAGCTACGACTTGTAGATATTTCCAATGAGCCCATCCCTAGGGAAACTTTTGATAACCTAAATATTTTAACCCATTAGTCTTCATGTGCAGATGCCTGGTCTCAAACAGACGTTTATAGCCTTCGCATCCCCTATTATTTCTTACAAGTTTGATGAATTTCATTAATCTTTTGTCATTACTGTTCCTTTTGCTGTTTAATATTTCATTATACGTTTTAGCGTCTTTGTTTATCTCCCCTGTCAATTATTTTCTCTGACACAAAGTTTATTTTTGCATTCCAACTGATTTGTTGATAAGCTATAATAATTGCATTTGTCTGCTGGTTCTGTTGTTTGAGATCATACTGTTTATGACTGGATGGTCTGGTGAGTGATTCGCTTTTATCTTAGTCGCTGCCTGGAGTTTCTCTTTAATCCCATGTATCTTGGAGTTCAGCTTCCATGACTAAGTAGTAGTAGTTCCTTGCCCACTGAAGGCTAAGGTTCCCTTTGTCTTCTATATTTTTTTGAGATTTGGAAAAAGTGCCAACAAAAACATTCCCTCACTAAAACTGCAGTTCCTTGTTGCGATAGAAGTAGCAGATATAATAAATAAATCAGCAGTTGTACGCAAAATTACTTCGTGTACTGCGCCACCAGTTTGTGTGGTCACTCGCCATTGTCTGAATCCCCAGCTCACAACATTGCATATTCCTTACGTCCTTCTTAGGACGTAATTTTTTGTTATTTGAAGCCCCACTCTGGCTTTTGCCAGGGGCCGCAATATAGGCAGGCCATCAATATGGCCAATTGTCTGAACGCGGTTTCTGGGACCTCTCCACGGTGATCCTCATCCGCATGGTGGCATTTTGTGTCATCGGGTGTTTATCGCTTGTGTGATGTCCTGGTGGGGTAGAAAGTCAGTCAGTCAGTTCACAACATAAACTACTTAAGCATCACTCGAAATGAATTCCAAATTAAATCTAGTTACGTAGCAACTCCCCGTGTTGGTGTTAGCTTACATAAACCACATTTCTGAGTTCCCTATTATTCACCCTTTTTCTTTTTTTGTACACTCACCCAATCTGTCCCACTTCTATTAACTCTTCGAGTACCAGGGGTAAATCATCAAAGACCCAAGGAATAATAGGGAGATATGTATAATCAGCGCACAGTGCGTTCACTGTGCTTCTAGTTTGGAACTATGAACGTATAATGCGTTCCTTGGGACTGAAAGATTTAAATAGACGTTATTGCTTTAATATTTTAAATCAAAACATTGCTTAAAGTACAACTTCCTGAACAGAAGGAGTTAAAGT